TAGAGAGGCATATATGGCCTGTATTTGTGAGCCACTGTTCTTTATACAAGTGTGAAAGGAAAATACAGCACTTAGCTCATACGTTTATGGCAATAACGGTATGTTGGTTTTTAGTAAAAAAAATGTATGCCCCCAAAGAAGTCCTAGCCAAAGTGTGTCTGTCTTTCCAAGACCACCCAGGTGAAACAAAATATGACATGGTTCACACTAAATAGCCAAGATTCGTAATGGCTTAATGCACAAATCTAAGTTTGTTTGGACTGCCTGGATTGAACATTATCTCTCTAATCACTTTGACTGCTCATTGCTGGTTCTTTGAAATATCCCACCTCAGTGACATTCTATACTAATAGGACCCTAAACAACCAGGAAATTACTTTGTATTAATACTATTAACCTACTTCATTTTTTAGCCAACAAGACCCGAAACCTAAATATGAATCTTTCTCACTATATACCAAATGCCATCTGAAAACTGTGAGCTTTGTAATGTGATATATAGCTTCAGGCTGCACATCAGTGTTTACTGGAAGTCAGGCCTTTCAGTTGCATTGTACTGTACTGTTTAACTCTCTGCAAGTGTACATGTCCTGTTGTATTCTCTAATAATTTCTTTAATAAAAACATATTGAAACAGAATATTGTTTCTAAACTACACAATCATGAATATTGTTACAATTTTTATACATGTTACAACAATTAGCTTCCAGTAACATATCTGTGGACCTACTCAGTAATTTTTTATCATTTTTGCTATGCATATGTACCGCTGACTTCTAGGGGCAGCAGGCAGTGGCGTCACAAGGTGGGTGCGGGGGGTTCGGCTCACAAGTCGGGCACTCGGTCATGGACTGAGAGCCGACAGGGTATGCAGAGAAGAGGGGACTCGGCGGTAAACCTCATCCTGCCGGGTGAACATGCCCTTCTCTCTCTGCCGGGGTCCATCACCAGGCGTCAATTGGATGACCACCCATGCACGATGATTTCATCGTGCACGCGTGTGGTAATGTCACGTGCATGCACGGTGACGTCACTGCGGGGGTGTCACCCGATCATCGCTCAGGGTGTCACCTGGCCTCGGGACGCCCCCTGGCAGCAGGGGCTGACATTTCACCTCAGGAATAAGTCCTTAGAGGGAATGTGGGATGCGCAAAGCAAAATTGGCCACTTTAAGGATTTTATTATGCTTTTTTTTAATGCTTTATTCCATGAACGGCAAAAAAGGGAGAGAGGGTTAGGGCTGCAGATATCTAAGGAACAAACAGAACTCCAGACTTACCAAATGCTTTCCAGCTTTACAGTGTAGAGGGCCTTTAAACTGAAAATGCAGAGATACTGTGTTAGAGAACCATAGATAGTTGGCAGACATTTTGAGATCTCCGCTGGGTGTGACAGTAGACTTCTCTCTGAGGTCTGCGCCCATCCTGGCTTCTCCGGTACCTCCAGCAGGCAGTGTTCCTCAATTGCTCTTCATCCCAGGAATAATTCCTGACCCTGACTGGGTTCACACCTGACCACCTTAAGGCTTCAGGCCTGGTCAGACAGCTTAAACATAATGCACCTCCCAGAGGCAGGATGCCCGGGGAAGTGCGACACTCTCACCTGGTCAGAGCCAGATATTTATTTCCTCTCACAGCATGCACCACTAGCTATAAACCCCTGAGGGATTGTGTGGAGAGTTATAGATATCCATAACATTCCACTTTTGGTTGCTCTGCTCTGTGGCAAGGGTACACCCAGCAGCAGGCAGATGCACTCAATAACAGAATCCTTAGGTAAAGCCAAATGAGTACAGGCTATACAATCAGTTAGACTGAATACAGTCCTAGCAAGCTAAATTTAAATTTAAATTATACGTAACAACCTTTTTCCTCTTATGTTTTTTTCCATCCCAATTTTACAGGTATTCAATTACCCAGGGTGACTAGAGCTGCAAGCTATCCCAAGGTGGCAGTGGGGTATACTCTATTAGCTCTATGGTGGAAGCAGGTAAATGTAAAGCATATCTAAAGCCCAAACGTTTTATGTTTTGAATAGAATGAGAAAAGGTTAGACTCCATGCAGGTTTTACTGCTATCTGGGGCTCCATTACAGAGCTTTTCCCTCATGTTCTGTTTAACGATGTACCATACAAAAGTGAGGGAAAATCTGCAACAAGTAAATAGACCACAATAAAAAAACTGACAGGGTTTCTAGCCATGCCCTACTTTAAAAAAGTATTTTTAATTCTATCTGTGGAGAGGTTTCCTGTCACGTCATGTCCTACGAACAACTGTTTTTTACCAGACAGGAATGAAGGAATCTGCAGCCCCTGACTGCAGTAAAACCCAACAGGAGTTCTACTTTTACCCCAATCTTTCCAAAACAAAGCAAAAAAGTATTTGGCTGTAGATATACTTAAAGTGATAACTTTGTATTGAAGGAGTAGATTAAAACAGCTAGCTTTTGAGACAGCTTAGATCACCTCCTCACTACTAGGTAAATGCATTTGTTTTTCAGCATCTTAAAGCAGAAGTGTATCAGGAGCAGAATGGAAATGTTTTTCTTGAAATGAAAAAGTTCTACAAGTGACGGCGGCTTTCAATCGAGAAACTCCATTCACTCCAAAATCAAATGTTGAAATCAAATGAAATTTCAAAAAAGATTTGCCAAGTCTTGTCAATACATTCATCAAGTTTCTGATGGCAGTATCAAATGTTCTGGCAAGATTTTTTTGTATGAATATTTGTTCTACCAGTGTATAGCCAGCTTTACCTTAGATGCTGTTCTGCAAAAGCTGACTCATGAGAGAAAATTCCAAGTATGCGTACAGCATGCATAGCAGTAATGAGTTCTCATATGACCACTGATGTGCAAATGAAGTGATTGTCTATTATGCTTCCCAAAGTGGCATCTCAAACACACCAATAAAAGGAATTATGGGGTGGGTGCACAGGAAGGATAGATCATATTAAAAAATTCAAATAAGTAGGAATCACAAAGGCTTTTCTACTACAACATATAAATGTAAGTTATATGATTACACTAAACATTTATATTGAATACAGTAATACCTTGGTTTACGAGCATACTTCGTTCCGGAAGCATGCTTGTAATCCAAAGTGCTTGTATATCAAAGCGAATTTCCCCATAGAAAATAATGGAAATTCAGATGATTCGTTCCACAACCCAAAAATATTCATATAAAACTTATTACAATACTGTACTGTAATATAATACTGTACAAAATATAAAGAAAAATAAACCCATTACCGGTAACTTTGTGGCTGGTGTGAGGGAGACAAGAGAGAGGAGGATTATTGTGTAGGACGACTTTCACTATCACTAACGGAATCACTGCTATCTCTTGGCTCAATGGAATCTTTTTCATTTCGTGAAACCTTAACAAGGAATATATCCAATGTGACATTGCATTGTCGTTAAACAGATTCATCGCTCGCACTGCTACAGATTTGTTCGGGTGGCGCTTTTCTACATAATTTTGCTCTTATTGCAAGACATTGCTTGTATATCAAGGCAATTTTTTTCAGAAATGTTTGCTTGTCTTGCAAAACACTCTCAAACCAAGTTACTTGTAAACCAAGGTATTACTGTATATTGATGTAACTACAGATGCACTCTAAAAGGGCGATAATTCTGGGAGACTGATATATGAAGGTGTTTGATTTATAGGTTTGTCAAATTAATAAGGTTGTTACCTTGTTCTAGTGAGTATAAATCAGAAATGTTAGTTTTTGTACCAAACAAAGAGCAAGCTATCTGGAAACCTTGAAATTTTCTATTCATTCAGCTACTGAGCCAATCGAAGCTGAGGATCTGCATTTTTCTGCCTCTAGACCAGGGGTGGCAAACACAAGGCCCGCGGGCCGAATCCGGCCCGCACCCCCGCCGAGTCCCCTGAGAAGTGGCCGCCGCTGCTGCAGGCACGATCTCCTGTCAGCTCGGCTCTGCCGCTGAGGAGAGGAATCGCCGTGCAGGCTCCTATGTTCCTCCGCCCACCTCTGCTGCTATTAGCTGCTGCCTGAGTATTTGTCAGCAGAGCGGGAAGGGACCTGCAGACTGCAGAGGAGGCACAACAAGGCTGCTTGGGGCTGCACATGGATGGAGGAGACATTGATGCTCCCCCCCCTCCCCCACCACCACCTGGAGAGGAAGAAGAGGGCATGAGGACAGAGCACATTACCACTGTACAGTAAGTCCCTTTTCTATCTTACACCACTGACCTTCCCACTGCGTCACATTACTGTCCTCTGCGCACTGCGTCACCTTACTGACCTCCGCACTGCGTCACATTACTGAGACCCGCACTGCGTCACCTTGCTGAGCTCCGCGCACTGCGTCACATTACTGTCCTCTGCGCACTGCGTCACATTACTGACCTCCCCACTGCGTCACCTTACTGAGCTCCGCACTGCGTCACCTTACTGACTTCCGCAATGCGTCACCTTACTGACCGGCCCTTTGAGGGTAACCATACTGCTGATGCGGCCCCCGATGAATTTGAGTTTGCCACCCCTGCTCTAGACTATCTGTTTATAGTTAACCTGCATTCACACTGCAACTGACGGCAGCTTCAGGAGAAAAGCCGTGCATTAGAAAACTTTCTTTTTAGCAAGACCCACCCACATGTTGCAAGCATTAAATAAAATTGTCCATACTGAAACATGCAAGAAAATGAAATGATAAGAGCAGGAATTGAACTTGCAGCTATGCAGCACAAATATGATATTTTGTAAGTTTTTCTGTAATCCGTTTCAGCAAGACATAATTGGGAATATTAAGAGTAAAAGCAAAAAGGCAAAAACAAATCACATAGGGGTTCCTTTATAAAAGTTTTCAGGGCACTAGCGCTCCTGGATAGTGTTGATGAGCATAGGATACTTTTATAAATGAACCCCATAGATTTCATGAACAAAAAGCAAATGTGAAAAGGCAGGCTAAATGGTCACATGAAGAAAATACTTATTCATTTTGTGTTTGTTATACTATGTTCCACTTACCAATCTCATTGACATCAATCTCTTTCTGCCCAATAAAGTACCAAACACATGCCATCCAATGGGCAAGCAAAGCAAACATTGACATAAGAAGAGTGAGCACCACTGCACTGTATTGAGAGTACCGATCCAGTTTCTGGAGCAAGCGGAGGAGTCTTAATAGACGAACTGTCTTCAACAGATGAACGCCAAAATACTAAGAGAAAAAAATAATAGGATCTAAGTACCTGTGGATTTAATGCTGCCAGAATATACTGTATATCTAGCAAATTAATGCATTGGAAGAAGACTTACAAAAAGGCAGAAGACCTTGCAAACTACATCTATGGTCAGTAAAAGAATTTCGGGGAACTTTGAGTTTGAATGTTCTAAGTTTTTGCTTTCTTAATCATCATTTACTATTAAAACCCCTCTACTCTGTTTTGTGAACTGTGCTCTTTGAAAGCAGTTCTGTACAAACTTTACTTCTTACTAAACACACAGCATGACAGCTTTGACATTTTATGAATATAAACCATTCTACTAAGGGCATTTTGGACCACATCTATGTTCTCATTTTGGATCATGAAGCCTACTTACCACATTGACACTAAATGCATAGAGCAGGTCAAAAGGTAGGGCAGCAAGGAGGTCCACAAAGAACCACGTGGTTGCATAGTGCACACAAATAGAGCGAGGATCATATACCACTTGACCAGACTTGCTGACGTATGTTGTACGGAAATTCAACAAAATATCTAGGATAAAAAACAAGTAAGAAAGATTAGGAGAGATGATATTAAATTCTTAAATGATATTAAATGATATTAAATTCAAATACGACAATATTACTCTGTATTTGTCCTGGTGACCACAATTGTTAATCTACATTTTGAGTTGTCTACGAAAACAGGAACAGAGGAATAGAAGGGAAATCTTCTAATGGAGATACCCGTTTACATGATAACTGTCTAATATGGGTTTTCTCTCACTTTGCAGAGATTTCCTGTTGTGTCTATAACACAGAAAGTGAAAAGAAATGTCCCCAATGGCAATAAAAACTGTTAGAGGTTTTATCCATTCCATACTTTGTCCAAGATGAAAACAGAGGTCTTAGATTTAGATATACTTTACTCTTTAAGAAAACTACACACACTATTTTTGCATATGTGATAAATGTATAATCAGTTCTAATGCTTGTCCAAGGGGAGATGGAATGAGGGATATCTCAAAGAAATGTCTAGTTTCTCTGTGCCAGGATTTTCCACACTTCTAAATCTTTTTTATATACAACTCACCTATCTTTGAGTGTTACACAGCTGTCTTGCTTTAAGACAGTTTTTTCTGGCAGCTGTTTTCTAATAATTTGACCCAGATGCTATTAAATAGCTGACACTTTTCTCATTCTAAATTCAGTTTTTCTTCTTACTGGCTTCTAAAAATGTAGCGTTCCCAAGTAAATAATTAACAAGATGTCAGCAAATGAAACATGGGTCCTGCTATTAGCCGGACTGTGAATAATAACAGAAACATCTTCAATACATTTTCCTCCCTAGGACATTGGTTCCAGAGTTCACTTAAATATTTAGATATAGCTTATTTTCTGAATGAATGTCGACTTGAGAATCACTTAGCTCTTAAACTGACAAGCTAAAAGGACAACGCTACGGGGCTCCAGCTTGGATGCAGAACAGATATTTAATAAATGATAATGTTGTCTGTTTTTACAGAATAAACAGATGATCAGGCCAGCAATTCTAGCTTTCATTAGGAGAGATGCCCAGGACTGAATACACATCCAAACAAGCCTTTAGATGTGATATATTAAAGCAGTTGTTGGAAGAATGTTCAAAACATGTCCATGTATTGTCAAGGACTGCCAGCAACTGATTTCCCATGTCACTGTGACAAAACATTTCAATCTGTAAAATCTATGTTTTTAGAAAGCAAGGTTTATGCACTCAGGGAGCAAAATGAATGAATAAATATGCATGCAATCAAGAAACAGCCCAATCCATATATATTTATTTCCGCTAGGGCAAGGTATAGCAAGTGGCAAATGGAATAGCATGTGTTAAGTTTTTTAAAATTACTATAATTTATGCATTAGGGGTTCCACTCTTGAGGTATTATAAAACTCTAGTCTCTGATGGTGCAATTGCAGGTTCAAATGAAGCTCTCACTTTGCCTCATGCCCCTAAGTAATACTCCCATAATCTTCTTTTCTTCCAGCTGGACCATATGACTCTTGCATACTTGGCCATCCTGAAGCTACAGAAAATGTTCAAGGACCAGCAACATTTTCGTGCATTTGTTCATTGAATTTGTCACCTGATTGAACCACAACAGGATGTCATGTCAGACATGTAGGGATTGATTTACTAAAATATACTGTTCACATTGCAAGGGAATTTGCACTTTGCAGAGCGATTTTCCCTAAGCTTAGTAAATAGGGTGAAGCTCTGCTGACTTCAATTATCCAATCATGTGCAAGCAAAAATACAGTTTTTTTTATTCTCTTTGCACATTATTGAGTATTCTTTGCAAACTGAATTCAATACATTAACTAACATAAGGGAAAATTCCCTTGCAAAGTACAAATTTCCTTGTAAAGTGAACAGCCTAAATGCCTTGAGTAAACCAACCTAATGTCTAAAAGTGCTTTTTGGATCAAATATAGCCAATACCAGTTTCCAGATAAAATACAAATACAGATAAAAGTTCTGGCCCACCAGTGAATGAGTTGCACTGACACAGGTACAGATAATATCTGTTGCACATATACACATGTTTGCATCATTCTAGAGCAAACATATGTATTCTAATACAATTTCAGGCACTGTAAGACCCCGTTCACATATAGCGACATACCTTTGCAGCGGCCGGGATAGCGCGACTTTCGGGGCGACGCTCCAGCGACGATCCAGCGACGGTAGCGCGACCTTCTCTGTCGGGCTCCATAGAAAAAAAGCAAAATCGCGCAAAATCCGCCGAAAAAAGGGTCCGGTAGAAGCAACTTGCGACCGCGACGAGCGACGCACGACATGGAGTTAAGACAGCTCCATTGAATAGCATTGGCTGGCGACTTCTCGCGATATCGCGCGGGGATAATGCGCGAAATCGCGCAACAATTCGCTATATGTGAACGGGGCCTAAGTCTACCTTTAGCTCCTACTCTAAAAGACGTGAGAAGCTCAACACTGCTGTGTATAACAAACGGTTAAGCATATACGGGTTTATGGAATATCCTGCAAATTTGAGTATTATGAGTCAATAATATTTCTTTTCATTTATTGAACAGTCATTGTTTTGGTGAATACATCTGTTATAACAGCTTAACACATTTCTCAAGTTTTGGAGAGTGTGAAAGTCTTGCAAATCATCAGTTTTTTTTATTGCTGGGGGGATTTACTCTCTCTATTTGACCTGTGACAAGAAAAAATGATTAGAAATACAAAACTTTACAGATGTCACAAGAACTGAAATAGAGAGGAAATCTTCCCATTGGGACATGGGTTCCCGTGACAACTGTTTAAGAGGGAATTCCTCTCACTTCCTGTTGTTTGCAGTCAATGGAAATGTCCTCCACAGAACATATGCAAAAAAAAAAACCCTGAGAGGGGTTTAACCATTTTCTACTCTTTAACTAAGTTTAATGCTTTTGATGTACTCTAAGCAATTAGACCTGTGGTGTTACAGCTAATAGGCCTTTATTTAGCTTTGCTGGTACACTAACCACAATAGACATAAACAGTGGGAAACCTAACTTGCACTGGAATGCCCTCGATCAAAAACTGTTAGCTGTTGACATTTTGCAGATTTATATTAAAAAACAGGGATAATGCAATAACTTTAAAATGTAAGATGTTCCATGACAATTTTTGTCATTGCAGGAACTTAGGTTTAGATAAGTGACTTTCACATTTCTATTAAATACCAAATGCAATTATATTGTTTCTGTATGTATTTGTTCTTCGATCACCTCCTGTCATCATGTCATACGATTAACTGTGCTAGTGATTTGCTTCTGGCAACATGCTGCTACGTTGCAATGAATTTTCCAAAAGCAGTGTTAGCTTTGTTTGACAGATGACATTGTATAATGTTAATGGCAGCCAGGGTTACTGCTTACAGGGCTTGGGCCATTTATTATTAGCCACATTGACTAGAAGCTGCCATGCAGGCCGATGAAAAAAGCTTCTTTAAAAATAACACACGAGAACTAGACATGAGAAAGTTTGTTTTACTAGCAATGAACATAAAATAATGTAATTACAGCAATGTATACGGTTTGGGGTGTCAAAACACATTTTGTTGTTTTTTTGATATTTATTTTTGTTTGTAGGGGCTAGCTGGTCAAAGTGGAGATTTAATCCCTTTTTATGGGATTACATCTCCTCAGAGTGCTAGGGGAGGTTTTGTGTTCAGGCATTTGCACAGAGAGTTGTAAAGTGTAAGTATCTGAAATTGACCTAATATCTGAAATTGACCTGCTATCTGCCCCTTGTAGCGCCTGTATAGCAGAGCTGCATATGAAGCATACGCATAATAGGAGAAAGCAGAGTGACAGGGGATGAGCTCATCACTCTGCTGCGTCTTCTTGCACTGTCCAGGAACAGGCTGTGACAAGTCCAAGATGACCTGAGCTCAGAAGAGTGTACTGAATTATCTTGGCCATATGACCGAGGACATCTAGTGGCAGAAAAAAGTACTGCTGAAGAAATCCATAAATTGAAGGTAAATATTGCAGCAAAAACTGTTTTTGTTGTTTTATCTTTCAATAGGATATTCCTTTTATTTTATTACTTTGGCTGGAGTTCTGCTTGAATGTCCACAGAAGAAAGAAAATCATACATACATGCTGACATATGACACTGGGGAGAAATAAGGTGGGTTGGTGAGTAATGGAGATTGACAGAGAGGAGGAACAAATGAGAAAATATAAAACATGGGCCAAAAAGTGTGAAGAATGAGAAAGAGGATGTGGTGGAGTGTCAGTAATAGGTAAAATCCAAGAGAAAGCAAACACTAGCAAAACCAAGGGG